TGGGTAATCGTCCAAAGTTTGGGAGGACAAAGTGGAATTAACCCATGAAAAAGCTAAGGAAGAACAATGATAATTTGCTAACAAGGACATATGTTTATTCATTCTGGGATAGAGTATTAGAAGTTAGAATAATTTTCTGGTTATGCCCCCCAAAAAAAAAAAAAAATCATCCAATCGGTTCTAATTTTAACTGAGAGATGCACTCTAAGCTACACGATTAATTGACTTCTTTGTTTACATTAACATAAGTATCCAAAGGAAGAGATCTGGCTGGTGGAACTGAATCTTACAGTTACCCCAAGGTGTAAGTGATTCCAATTAAAGAATGTGAAAGAAACAAAGAATTCGATTTATTTGACCATGTACAATTTCTAAAGACATAGTATACTATAACGTATACAATCACCTGAAAGAAGCTAATTGCATTTTTGTACAAGCTTGACAACATCAATATTTCAAACTTTTTGTTTCGGTTTTCAAAACTTGACTCTTTGCTCACAATTTATTCCTGCATAACATTGGGACTTGGTTTTTGGTTAATTAAAGGCCATGATGTTTGGCTTAGCTTTTGTTTTGGGTTTAGCAGCTACTGCTTATCAAAGAGTTGCTTCGCCTTGCACGTATTGGAGAGGGAAGAATTGAAAGGCCGTTTATCTGTCTGATGATAATGAAGTATCCGTGGACTAAAGAAAAGTAAATTACAATTTTGCCCCTTTATTTTATTAGGAAAAAAAATGCAATAAGATTAATTTTTTATGCACCGGTTAGTATAAAGATTTTTTTTTAAAAAAATACATGGCACTGGATACATGCCACATCTGTAAAAATAATTAAATTTAAATAAAAATTATGCGTCATGTATCTAGAGCTACTTTTTTTTTTTTTTGTGTGTGTCTGTAACGTCAACTATCTAACTGAATCCGGGAGGAGTCTAAAGTACGTTATACAGACATTAGGAGGTGAATCACCAAGTCAGACTTGTGCACCATCGCACTCTCTGAATTTTTAAGAATAAGAAGTACTGTGCTTCTAGGGCTACTAATAATTAAAAAAAAAAAAAACCCTTGTACATTGACAATTACATAAAAAATTAATCCATATACATATGTATGTCTTTTCTAAAAGTGTTTATCATGTAACCGACCAATATCTTTTATGCAGTGGAAAAGTGAGACGGTGAATAAGTCGAGGGAGTTATTGGATAGCCGACATTAGCTAATATTGTAATTCTCTCCGTTTTGAGTGTTAGACGTAATTAGTCACATATATAAAGATAATCACAAGACTCATCTGGAGACTGTTTTTGGGCATTATCTGTCAAAGCTCTTTCTTTTTAAAAGTATTCAGCCAAACAGGTAATAACTACTGTACATTAATGAGCATTTTTAGTAGTACCAGTTCCTTGTTATGCTTCTAATTAAGCATTTGGGAGGAGATTAAACAAGGACATCCAATCTTCGATCACTACAACGTCCGGCAGCTTATGTTCAGGTCCCCCGTCATCTTGCTTGTCCCTATATGAATAATGGAAAATCTGTTATGCCTGTTTTCCCAAAGGACGAATTAGAGGGCATCAATGGACCTTCGTTACAAGCTGAAGAAGTAGTCCGTTTTGCTTTCACTTATTATTAGTGTGTAGTTCTGCAGCAATTTAAGAGGTTGTTTGGATTGCAATTTTTTGAAGAGCTTTTGAAGAATAAATTTCTATAGAGCTTTACTTTATAGAATACGGGGTGTACGTGACATAAATAGAATATTTACAGAAAAGCAAAAAAATAGCAATTCAAACGAAATCTACCCCTTCCGTACTGATATTTGCTTAAGACGGTAGGAACATACAAATGAATCAAGCTGTTCCAAAATAATTAACTGCTAAACAAGATAGCGAACACAATTTACCATTGGAACATGATCTTATTTTTCATGATAACTATAAATTAATCATGAGAACCAAATCATATTTTGATAGTTTGTCTCTTACTTTTTCCTGTGTTTCTGAGTGTATTTTTCACACACATAATATTCTATACAAAAATTGGCAATTGTACAGAAGTTTACTGTTGAAATGGAGCGAATTGATGAGTAATGAGGGCAGCACGGGTCCAACAATAGAACAAAACATGCGAAAGAAAGTGTTTAGGCAAAGCTACAAGAAAAGCTAGAGGACACAAAGGGGGCGACAAAATCTTGGAACTCCCCAGCGGAAGAATCTTTCAATTTTGCGGTCAGTACCCAGTACAGCAGTTAACATCATTTATCATATTGACTGCAATCCGGGTCCTTCGATCTTTGCACTTCAACAAACGGGTCACCGACCCATTTACAGGTGGGTTTTCTGGAGGGGAAGGGGGGAGAGAGCGTAGGGGCCGGCGTGGGATAGTTTAACCAGCCCATTATTTGTAACTGTCGATTTTTTTGGGCTTTGGCCCTCTTACGGACCAAAAAAACACAATAAAGATGAATGGAATACTCCCAAGATCCAATTCAATTGGACAATAGTTAAAGACATTAGTTAGAGACAGTTTCAGTTCGAAATTTATGGTAACATCATTTGGTAGCTTTGAAGTTTCAGAAATATAATTCAACTTCCATGCTAGTGAGATGGGACCATTAATCAATATCAACGCGACAAAATTATATTTACTCCTTTAACAATTTTAAAGCAAAACATATAAAAAAGAACTTAGGTAAAACATGTAAATCTTATATTATAATCAATTTGGTAGAAATTTTAATATAAGACAACATCAAAGGATAGAATTGGTAGAATATATATATATCTCATCAAATGATTATTATAAGAATATTTTAATGATATAAAGGCAACATTGTTACAAGGTATATGATTTTAGAGGAGGTTAATGATATTTTTAAAAACTTTAGAAGTGCCAAGCAACATTAACATAAATCTCAATAAGGTTTCTAAAATTATCTCTAGTTACAATGGTAGAGAATATACCATTTTACAAGTTTAAGAAGTAAAAATATGCATTTAATAGTTGAAGGGTTAAAAGTCGACCAACTTAATACTTTGAAAGCCATCTAACTTTTCAGCGCTAAAATTTAAAATTTTATTGAAATATTATTTTTTAAATTAAAAAAAAATCACTATCCACAACCATTTACCACCCCTTTTTTCTCTCTCCACCATTGCCATCGTAGCCGCCCCTACTCCTCCCCTCATTCTCTCTTTTCCTCCTTCTTCCTTGTCCCTTTTCTTCCCTCTTCCCCTCCCTTCTCTTATCCCCTCTCTTTCCCGACCACACCCAACTCCTCCCTTTCCTTATTTTGACTTGGTTGTGGCCATCTCTCCTTAGTCCTCCCCTTCCAACCTCCGTCTCTTTCTTTCGCCTATCTAGTTGTGACTAGAAGCCGCAACCAAAGTAGGGAAAAGGAGGGGTAAGGGATGGTGAGGGAAGGGAGGCAAATAAGAGGAAAAGGGCCAAGGAGGAGAGAGGAAGGGAGGGGTAGCGATAGTAGTGGTGATAAAGGAGGGAGGAGGCTAGTGATGTGAAAGAAGAAAAAATGATAAAATTTATTTTTATTTTTGTATTTTAGATGTGCATTTTTGAAATTGTTTTTGAAATTTGTTACTGTAAATTGCACAAACAAAAACCATTTGTGAAGAAAAAGGGTAACTTGAATAGAGCCTTAATTTTTTTCTATTTCTTTTTTTTATATATTTATTGTTGTAAGGTTTGGAGTTTGACTTAAATTAAAATACATATGACGTAGTTGTGCAATGTTATTTATTGTTGTAAGGTTTAGAGTTTGACTTAAATTAAAAAAAACATATGACGTAGTTGTGCAATTTTATTTATTGTTGTATTGTTTAGAGTTTGACTTAAATTAAGAAACGTATGACGCATTTATGCACCTGCAGTACTGCCTTCCTATAATTGTAGGAGGATTTTTTGTTTTCTTCAAGCAACATGAAAACTGATGGAACTTGATGTAGATAAGTTTTACCCTCGTAATCTCCGCTATTTATTGTTATACCACTGCTTAATGTCACATTTGAGACCAAAATCCGATAGCACTTGCAAATCAGTGTATGCGTTTGCAAGGATAGCAGCGGATTAGGGTTTTAATTATCAATTTCTCATTGCCAAACCATCTCGCGGGTTCAAGTTGTCCATTGAGTATCCTCTATCCATTAAGGTCAATAGTAAAAAAAAAAAAAATTAATTAATTAATTAATTTTTATCGAACTAAAATCAACATATACATTATGTTAAATTAACACACTGCATCGAGTTTCAAACTTGGGCAACACCATAAAGCTTGCATGAGAAAAAATGGATATTTAGTGAAGGTTTGAATCAATATTTCTCTGTTTTTAATCATAATTGTCTTCATTTATGGCATCGGGTATTGGATGTCGGGGTTTTAGGATTCTCTTATCAAATTTTATCAAGTTACTAGGAGGTAACTCTTCATCATCAATATCCATTCCCAATAGATAAACGATGAATCACCAAATCAAACTAATCATCAAGTTGTCTAATCCAATATTTTTTATTTTGAGGAACATTTGAATGCTTGTGTCTTTCATGCATCACTTGCCTTCACTAGTTGTATTTTGAAAATCCAAATCATGCATTTTTTTCATTTTTTATTTGGATAGAAAAAAAAAATCAAGCATTAGGTATTAGTATGAAATTAGGCAATGTCAACTCACACTTTTGATTCCTCTACCACTCATGGCATCTGAATTTAGTTATAGAACAATTCTATTCAGTCTCATTCTATTTTGCATGTAAATTCACATGAAGGTCTTATTTATAGTTCATACTATAAAGAAATTTTTTTTTGTCATGGTTTAGAGTTACTTGTGTGGCAAATTGCAATGAGAAGAAAAAGTAATACAAGGGCCTATATGGAGCACTACTAAACTGCCATGGATCATCAGTAATTAGTCCCAAATTCAGTCCTTCCCCGGAAAAGTAAAAAGTTTCCGAAGCTATAAAAGAAAATCTGAAGAGGAAAAAGACAAAGGCATCTTCCAAAGTTGAATTCCCGTTCCCTAGCCAACCGGAGCTGAATCATTATAGTCAAATCATTATATACTCCGGCGAACGACCACCTTCACCGGCGGCCGATGGCTTCTACATTATTCTCCCACCTAAAATACTCCGACAGCTTAACGGTGGTCGCAATTTCAATCTTCACCGCCGTAGTCTGCGAAGCTATCTCGTGGCTACTAATCTACCGCACCAGCTCCTACAAGTCTCTCAAATCCACCATAGACAAGGCCTCCAAAAAGCTCGAAACCATGAAAACCCCTAACGGCACCAGTGAACTCACTAAGAAATCAAAAACCAAGAAAATCGACCGCGTCGAGACCTCCTTGAAGGAATCCAGCCGCGATTTGTCTCTATTTAAGTTCAAATCCGGCGCTGTCGTCGCGGTCGTTTTATTTATGGTTTTCGGATTGTTGAATACTTTGTTCGAAGGGAAACCCGTTGCGAAATTGCCGTTTGTTCCCTTGCGGATTGTTCAGAAGATGAGTCATCGTGGCTTGTCCGGGGACGACATGACTGATTGTTCGATGGCCTTTTTGTATTTTCTTTGCTCGATTAGTATTAGGACTAACCTTCAGAAGTTCTTAGGTTTTTCGCCGCCACGCGGAGCTGCTGGTGCTGGCCTTTTCCCCATGCCCGATCCCAAAACCAGCTGATTGATCTGATCCATCCGCCAAAAAGCTCCTAGTTTTGGTATTAATTGCCTAGTGTTTTGAGTCTTTAGTTGTCACTTTTGTTTTTTAATTTCCTTTCTGTGAAGTCTGAATTTTGAGATCATAATTGGAAGTAGACTGTTAAGTATTTAGTCATTGAATGGAATAGTACTGTTGATCTTTTTTTCCAACTTTATTCTTTCCCGAAACCGGAAAAGTAATGAAGAACTCATTTCTGTATGTTGTTGCAGTTGTCAATTTTTGTGATAATTATTAAATTATTGCTTATCTTTTGTTAGGCCTATTTGAGGTTTGTTAGTTTTTAGAATCTTTGTTCATAACAGAGTGAGCTGTTATTTGTTGGTTTATTCCTGCTTCACATGTCAATCTAAAATCTGTTTGCTCTGTTTGGTTTTGCTGTTTAGGATAAATTATTGATCTTTGCATTCATTAAATTCTGAATTTACAGTATGTTGTGATACGGATGTTTGACAGTCTAAAGACTCTGAGCATAAATTTTGTCGGTAAGACCTCCTTGTAGGATTAATGCTCTTGCCGAAACCTTTTTTTTATTGGGGTCTGAAAAGCACCTTGCCCACATTTGTTGGGAGCAAGCATTCTAACTTGATCTATCATTGTCCTGCTTATTCATAAACCAGTCAATATATTGCTAATTGTGCTTTTTCGGGGGTAGACTTTCTGCTCTAGTAGTTATCAAACATTTAAAGGCCACTTTGAAACAGTTGCTCATCATGACCATGGTATCTTGTAAATATTTATCGTGTTTAATTCATTAGATCTAGAAGGTGTTGCTTATTGCCCCTTGTAATTGAGTTTTAGCATTGAAAGTTACATGTGTTTATTGTGCAGTCTTTGGATTAGCTGAATTCTAAAGACGGCTGTAGGAAATTCCATCACCTTCTATTTTTTTTGCGGGTAAGAAGTTTTGAAGCTTGCGAGCTTGAATGTTTAAAGACTGAGAATTGAAAGTACAGATCTTTCCAATTGCAGTTTTGGCTACTTATAATATTTCTGTGTGAAGTTGTAAGTATTATATTGCCATGAATAAAGAACAATCATGGCATCAATTTTGAAACAGAGAGTTATATTACAGAGTTAGTTGCAATGGCTAAACTAACTCATCCTAAAGTTGGGTATACCAATTTTTGTTGGTGTCATGAAACAAGCCATTTGGTAGGATTACAAATCTTGCTAAAACGATGTTCATAATAAAGATTTGAAAGGTTAAGGTTCATAACAAATTGAAGTTGTTTCATGTCATAATTCGAACAACAATTGAGGTTAACAATGACTCAAGGAAAAGTGAAATGCCTTCAAATAGGAAAATATCAAGACAAAGTGTCTCAGCACAGCATGCCTCATCACACTTGCACATTGTTTTCCTGCTTAATGATGGAAGATGTGTAATAAGTTGTGTTTGAAAACATAAACCAAATCATTCAATTAACTCATCAACAGTCATATGTCCATAATTAAAGTTGGCTTGTACTTTTTATCGCAATAAATGTTTATTACTTATTACTGCTACATTAATTTTGGTCTAACTTAATCTTCGACCTGCATTACTAACTTAGTATTGAGGAAAGACAAAGGGTGGGCTTGTATGAAATAAGTGACTTTCAGTTCTAGGTACCGACAGTCTACCCCCTTCTCTTTCTCGACGCCTCCAAATAAGAAAAAGGATGGCTCAGATGCTGTTTGCTCATCTTAGGTACTCAGATAGCCTAGCAGTCATGAAAATCTCACTATTTTCTGCCATATTGTGCGAAGCTTTATCTTGGCTATTAATCTACTGCATCAACCCCCACAAGTCTCTCAAATCTGCAAGTAACAAAGCCTCAAGAAAACTTGATCGTACGAAAAATCACAATAAAAGCAATGAAATCGCCGAGAAATCCAGGATCAGCAAAATAGCCTGTGTTGCAACATCATTTAAAAAATCCATATTTGTACTTGTTCAAATTAAAGCCTGGGTTGATTCTCATCCTGGTTCTCTTAGTCATTTTTAATACACTGAACAATCTACATGAAGGGAAACCTGTGGTTAAGTTGCCACTTTGGCCCTTACAAATTTTTCGCAGGTTGAGTTATAGGGGCCTATCTGGGGACTACACGACACGTTGTGTTCAGTGTTCTTTTTGTGCTTTTTGTGCTCGGTTGCAATTAGGGCTAATATTGAAAAGCTTTTAGGATTCTCGCCACCACATGAAGCTGCAGGTGGCAGGTTGTTTTCATTGCCCTTTCTGAAATCAAACTGATTGGTTTTGTTCACTACCAGTTAGTAAGAACTTCCCTTTCTACTACTTGTATTGTCCTTCTTTTGGAGAAGTTTGAATTAAGATAGCTGACTTAAAGTGATCTCCTGTTCTGATTGAAGAAATTTAATGGATTGGGTGTTTTCAAAAAACTTTACTGTAGACGTGTATCTTAAAAATATGTCGCCTGGTTTTTTTTTAAGGTTGTTTTGAAGGCTGTATCAGGTTTGCAGAAAGAATTATCTTTACCGAAAGTGGGAAGCAACCCCCTCCTCAGCCCACCTTTCTGCCTCCCACACTGCTTCCTGCCACTCTCTCTCTCCTTCACCAGCTCTCTTCTGCCCACTTTTCTCCCCCAACCCGTTACCCTCTCCCCTCCCTTCCTCCCCCTTCCCCTACCAACCCGCCAGCCTCCCCTGTTCCCCAAATCTGCAGCCCCTATCCCCATCCCCACCCCCTCTCCCCTCCTCCCCCTTCCCCCAGCAACCACCAAGGGGGAGTGGACTGCAGGGTTGTGATGGGGGAAGGGGCAATGGGCTGGTTGAGTTGGGGGAGGGGGCTGCATTTTGCATGTCTGTGTGTTTTGGGTACTGTTTCCGGTGTTCCGAGGGGTGTTACTATAGACACGTGTTTAAAATACATGTTTTGAAAAAAAAAGGGAATCCATAAGCTCCATAAGTTTTTAGTCAGAGGTTCGAACAGTATTTTTATCGTTCATTCTTTTCGTTTCTGCCCAAATTACAATGACTTGCATTTGTATACATCTAGAATTTGCAATGAACTTGCTGGCTTTATTTCTCACTTACAAATATGTGTGCGCGCGTGTACACATGTAGTGCCTGAATTTTGGTTGACTTACACTGAGCAGGGTCTTTTTGACGAATAAATTGAATTTTTTATATATTTTTTATTTGCAGTTTCTATGATAATCTGTAGCCTTTTGCTTAAGTTAGATGTGCTAGGTTGATTTTTGTTTTTCTGTTTGTCCTTAATAAAGAACCAGGATGATTTCTTGGTATCTATTTGGTCAAATGAACCAAACAATAATTATTCATTTTGTCAACCTTAGACATGTTTCTTCACACTATCAATATGAAGCAATCCTTTTTTTTTTTTTTATGTAACTTAAATTCTTGAGAATTACATTAATGACCTTTACTTAGATTTTCTGAACTCTGCAATCTAACATAGGTTTCTCATGAATATTTAACAATGGGGGGTCGGTGATCTTGTTTTTGGAGTCTCATTTTTTGAAACTGAGAAGGCTCGCTCCATTATTTTTGGGCAGTTCACTTTAATTAAGTTTGTTGAATTATAACTGGTGATTGTCTTATCAAACTAATTGGGTGAATTTCCCACACCAAGACTTTTCATAAGTCTTGTGACCTTACTTCGTATCAATTGATGACTTCACCCGGTTTAGGGTTATGCTTCCTAGGTCTTCTTTTTCGTTTTTCTACATAGTATTAGACTTGGTTTCTCAATTTAAAAAAAATAATAAAAGAAAAATTTGCTGGTTGGTTGATGTGGAATGGACAGCTACTTAAGGGCTCGAGCCAGGACTTTTGAGCCTGTGGAATTGTGATGTGATAATCAAGCAGCTATATTGCATTACTTTGTGTTCCATAAGTGTATTAGACATTTTGAAGTAGATATTCATTTTGTAAGGGAAAAACTTCAAGTTTTATTATTTCTCCTGGTCATGTTAAAACCGCAGAACACCTAGCTGATCTCCAATTACTATCAGATGAAGTCTGGAAAGTTTGGCTTATACTATCTTTGCATGGTTTTTACAATGTTAGAGGGCAAGGAATATAGAAATGTTGTCTAAGTTAAGGTAGTAGTATTGCTGTTCTCTGTAATGAACTCCTTTTGGCTTTTGGTGTTCCACATTATGGCTCTAACTTTTGGCCCTTGTGAGTTTGGGATCTCTATCATGCATTGTTTTTTATGCTAATGCAAAAGGAAGATTCTCAAAAAATCGGAATGTAGGAGCACTTCTGGTTTTCAATGTGGATGGTTTTGAAAATTTGAGAACTTGATGTTAAAGTAAGTGGATGACTGAGAGAGAACCTGTTGGTTCACTATTTTACCAATATATCTTGTGTCTTTATAGCCACTAGGTATGTGTTGTGACTTAACTCTAATCAAGAGCTAATGAAGATTTAAATATATGTTTGATGTCATATGACGTTTGATTCTGTCTCAGTTGGGAAGGAAAGACACCACCAACCATATGTAGGTCGGTGATGTAATATCCTGATGGTGTCATAAAGTGAGTCTGAACTCTGAATCAAAAAGTACTAATCCTACTGTATCAACTATTGATCAGGTAACCTGTGCCTATACGTAATCTTCAGGAGTATTAGTGTTTGCTTGGCTTTCCATGTTCACAAAATATTTAGTGCATTTTAGTTGTATTGGAACAGATATAATGTCACTGCCTAATGGAGCCTTTATTACAATTCTGGCATGCTTTGTTTAACTTTTTAACCTGCCAGAACTCTCAACCTTTCGCATCTTTTTCATAGTTTTTGGTCACATGTCAACCTGCAGAGGTAGGATTTGAAGGCCATCTAGTTTGTTTTGCTGGTCTTAGGATATAATCCTCGGTCAGCCATTATTGGCTTGCTTTGTAAGCTTATAGTTATGATGAGTCCTTGAATCTCTAATGATAGCTGATTGGCCTCTTTTGATTTCCTAATTTCTTGATACTCTGTAAGTTTTGCATACCTTCAAATTTTTGAAAAGCTTCTTTAGCGTTATAGTTGTCTGACTTATACAGGTCTTTAATCCTCAGTTTACGACTGTTATGAAAAAAATACCATACTCTTGAGATGTTTGGCCTTATCGGTGCCAATGGCTCCTCCTTTTACATTACCAGGATTCATCACTTGTTAGCTACAAATCTGCTTTTGTAAATTCGTAATTAGTAGTAGAAGAGCATTTCACTTTGTCAACAGGTATCTTGGGAGGAAAACATCTAGTCACACTATTATGAGTGACCAACTAGTATTTATAGGAGTACAAACCTAACAGACTATTTACAAGAATACCCTTACTAATTTATTATCTATAAGAATACTAATATTCTCCTAACACTCCCCCTCAAGTTGGAGCATATATATCATAAGCACCCAACTTGTTACAAATATATTTCACCCTAGAGCCCCCTAAACTCTTAGTAAATACATCAGCCAATTGATCTACAGACGGTACATGAGATGTCTTGATGACCCCGTCAAGCAATTTCTCTCGAATGAAATGACAATCAACTTCAATATGTTTTGTCCTTTCATGAAACACTGGATTAGACGCAATATGAACAGCCGCCTGATTATCACACACTAAATTCATAGGCTGTTTATGTTCAAACCCAAGTTCCAGTAACATGCTCTTCACCCAAACCAACTCACACACAGTGTGAGCCATAGCGCGGTATTCAGATTCTGCACTTGATCTGGATACAACTGTTTGCTTCTTACTCTTCCACGACACTAAATTACCACCAACAAACACACAATATCCTGTAGTCGATCTTCGATCTGAGGCAGAACCAGCCCAATCTGCATCACTATATCCTTCAATATCATTGTGTCCATGATTTTGATACAGCAACCCTTTTCCAGGAGCATTTTTAAGATACCTGAGAATCCGTATAACAGCATCCCAATGACTAGTACGAGGGGTATCAAGAAATTGACTCACAACACTCACTGCAAACGAAATGTCAGGTCTCGTTACAGTGAGATAATTTAATTTACCCACAAGTCTTCGATATTGCTTAGGATCATCAAGTAATGCACCTTGATCTCCTGCTAATTTCACATTGGGATC